AAACTGTGGTCCAGAAAGTTGTCTAGTTATATGTAGAATGGTTAGAAAAGAAAAATTACTTTCTTTCAGATACTGACGTGCCCCTGAGCAAGGCACATGACACCCTATTGTCCCAGGGTAGCCACTCCTAAACTGACCCAACACGGAGGCTTTTATCGGCCAGCTTCCAGCTCCAGCGATGTGAGGGTGAAGCAGGGTGTTGCTGAAACAGAGCATGCATGCTCAGTCAACTTTCCCCGAACAAATCAAAGCTGATAAAACGAATAAGATGATATATAAATGAATTTACACACCCTCTCACTTTTGCTCACATGCTTTCCACGTGACACCACTGACTGTTAGTGTACATAAGCAAGAGAAAGAAAAAGAAAAAGTCATCGAAACGAATATAAAAATATTACAAAAAAATGTATACCCTGCAAGAACCATTACGATCATAGAAACACCAGCAACATGATAATAATATTCAAGGAGTTACAATCTCATGTAACCTAGAGATGATAATCACTCAGAATGAAAAGACAACCCAAAGATTACCATTTACAGACATTATGTGCTTTTGTTTTAGTGAATGGGTTGATAATATACTCAATAATACATTTATTATTCTAGTTTCAGAAATAGTATATAGTTATAGCTAATAAAGAGACCGAGGGAAGAGGAACGGAAGCTGGTGTGCGCGCTCGTTTCTCTTTCCCTCTTCCTCCGACTTTCTGTCACCGGGGTTGGGTTGAATTCATTTTCAAACGCAGCTGATTCGGAAGTGCAATCTGACTTTTACACATCAGTCCAGTAATCAGATTTAGAGCACATGTTACGCGGTACATGTCTCGCTGTAGAATTTTCTTCTTAGAAATCTCAGGCAACATTTCATAAACCCCCTCAAAAATAGGCTTTTACTTCAAATCTGACTGAATGGTTTTTGCTTTGCTCACTTTTAAATATTGAGTAAAATGGCTGATCTCTTATATTAGAGTAATTTGTAGCTTCTGATTCTAACTAAATCTCCATCCCCTGAGTGTAAACTGAATTGAACCCCACCGTGTCCTTGGTTTTTGCAGCCCTTTGCGGGACATTCAACAGATACTGCCTTGGAGCCTTCGGTATCAAATCGTTATCATAAGCAGTCATACAAACCCTGGGATCAGTTTTACTCAATTAAAAACACACATAAAGTGCATAAACGTCCAGCTGTACGAGCGCTTTCAAATTCCAAATGGCATCCGACAATGTTTCCACTGCCAGATGACAAAATGACCATGAATCATGAGCAGGAAGATGTAAGTGAGTGAGTGATGGTGATTATGTTCCAACTTTAACCATGGCTATCACTTCCTTATTGTTGCCTTATTTTTTAAAAATAAAGTTATTTTTGGCTGTTCCCTTATTAACTGGCAATTATGGCAAATAAATTAAAGTCTGTTGTATTATGGTGTCGCT